CGGCGTTTCGCAAAGGACTTCAGCGATCTACTTTTGCAGTCGCCTCGGACTGTCCATGTGTTTACTTGCCCCAGCCCGAGGACTCGATGTCTAGGCTCCTGTGAAATGCAACTGAGCAGCCAAAGTACTTTGAGAACACGGGGCGGCATAAACACCAAAACTTTTTTGTGGAAGGAAAATGCAATAAGCAAGCTCGCCGTTTTCCGATGCGGCGTGGAGTGAGTGTGTGTCGCGCGTGTCCGCACTGGAGGCACACGCTTGTGTGTGTACATGGGGTGTGTTTTTCGGTACGTAGGGAGAAAATGCTTGCCAACCACCGGAAACCTCCTGGAATTTATTAGAAAATAATGGATTATTAAAAGGAGGCAGGCGAGGAGCGGATCTCCCCTTGAGTTGCAAGCCGATCTGCTGCCGGCTCAGTTTGTTGGGATTCTATTTGTTGATAGGTGTCTGATGGTATTCCGATAACACCCCCTCTTTCCTCAGTTTTTTTTTTTTAAGGAAACAACAACAAAAACCACCCCAAAATTTCTCCCCCTTTTTTTTCGCCCCGTGGGGATCGCTGTTTTCATCCATGTGCTTGCGTCTCCCCCGCGTTCCACTTAAACTATTTTAATCCTTGGACCCAAGGAGGAGGCTGATAGGGGGGTGGATTAAAAAAAAAAGTTCTTCCAAAATAGTGTGCCCCGGGAGCAGGATGGGGGATTTCGCAGCCCCCGCTGCTGCCGCGAATGGTAGTAGTATCTGCATCAACAGCAGCCTGAGCAGCAACCTCGGCGGGGCCGGGATCGGCGTGAATACTCCCAATAGCACTCCGGCTGCTCCGAGTGGCAATCACCCCGCTGCCGGCGGCTGCGGCGGCTCCGGGGGCCCCGGCGGCGGCTCGGTGGCCGTCCCCAAGCACAGCACGGTGGTCGAGCGGCTCCGGCAGCGTATCGAGGGCTGCCGGCGGCACCACGTCAACTGCGAGAACAGGTATCAGCAAGCTCAGGTGGAGCAGCTGGAGCTGGAGCGCCGGGACACCGTGAGCCTTTACCAGCGGACCCTGGAGCAGAGGGCCAAGAAATCGGGCGCCGGCACCGGCAAGCAACAGCACCCGAGCAAAGCCCAGCAAGATGCGGAGGCTGCCTCGGCGGAGCAGAGGAACCACACGCTGATCATGGTGAGGGCGCACTGGGGCGCGCGTTGGGGTCGGGGGCGTGGAGTTTCTGGGCTGGGGGTATGAGGGTCTGATTTGCACCGGGGGTGAGTGAGGTGGGATGGAGCCGAAGGGTTAACGTCAACTTTTCTCAGGGTAAACGCTGTCGTTGTCTCCGCTACCTGTTAATCTGTCAGGGTTGTCAGATTTGGGGAGGAGGGGATGAGAGAGAAGCCAGTCACGACTGCAAGGGGAGGAGGGAGCTCCAAGAGCGTTGGAGTGAGGTGCAGGAAAAGTTTCCCCCTCCTTGTCTTAGAAACCGATCCGAATGAGAGTGAACCCGGGAGTAGAAACCACGCTGCTCTTCTCCACGCCCCGCCTTAACCTCTCGCCGTGCCACCGCGCCTCCCCAGATCGGTCCCCTTTCGCCCACCCCTCTCATCACATCCGCCGGCTGTAGGGAGAAATTGATGCTGTCGCACATTCTGAGTGGGCACCAGGCCCTTAACCCTTAGGAGGGAAAGGAAGAGTCCCTGGCTTCCTCTCCTTTGGGCTTGGGAAAGTCTGAGAGTTTTGTGAATGAACTTTGAAGTGGGTGAGATGCGAACGAGGGTGGCTGCGCGCGCGTGCTCGTGGGGAGGCGCGCGGATGCGGGCCGCGCGAGCGCTGCGCTCGCCGCTCGAGACCAGCGGCTCAGGCAGGGCAGGTGGGGCAGCCGCGAGGGGTCGAGAGGGATGTGGTTGGGCGGGAGCAAGGAAACTGGAGCTGCGCCCTGACCCTGCCACTGCCGCTAATCTTGGAATTGTCCCTCATCCTCTTCCTCAACTTGTCCCCATGTCGTTCTCCGCCAACTTTCAGGCACCGGGTAATGAGCCCGGAGGAGTGGAGGGGAGCGAGGAGCAGAAAGGCTTAAATGGCCGGGTGGGTGGGTTCGCGGGAGGATGCGCAGCCAATGGCTTAAGTGCTAGGGAGAGGAAGGGGCCGATCCCACCCCTAACCGGGAGGGTGGAATCCTTTCTCTTATCTCCACTCCGAGGTTCTCTAGCTTTCCTCCTTGGGAGAGGAGGAGGGGGAGGCAGGAAGCTTGGGAAAGGTGTCTGCACTCCCTCCCCCACCGTGTCTCCTGGTTCGGAGCTGGGTAATGGCCATCTCCTAAGAGCGCGCCCTCTCTCCCCGCTGCGCCTCCATCGGCTGCGTGGAGCCAGGCGCGGGACGCCCACTCCGTGTGCCTTCTGTGCATCGCGCACGTTCCGGATCTCGGGGTGGTGCCAGTGTCGCCGGGCGCTCGGGCGGGCGGGCGGTGACAAAGAGCCGACGTGGGGGAGGGGAGGCCGCGGAGCTAGCTCTCTCCCACCCCCCACCCCGCACGTGAAGAGGAACAATTTGTTTATCTTGGGCTTCAAGAATCCTTCCCTCCTCCCTGCACTCCTTGGCCCCTCCTCCCTGCCCTCCCTCTTCTGCTCTCTCCAGCCCCGCCCCGCCTGCAGCGCCCTCCTCCTATCCTCTCCCTCCCCGCCGCCTCAGGCCACCAGCGGTGGGAGGAAGAACCCGAGTCCCTGAGTCTTCCAGGGAGCTACTCGCTTACAAACAGGAAGCTCCAAACCACAGACACACCGGCTTTTTCCTGGTTGTACCCTGATCCGGGACGAGACCGAGGTCTTCACCGTAGTTGTAGACTCAGGTGGCACCGGTGTTCATAACAGTCCCCCAGCCCCCTCCCTGTCCTCGTCCTCAGTCGTGGGAGATTCACTTAGCGAACCCGAGGCTGGAGTAGAATAACCCAGGCATCTAGGATTCTATCCTTGTCCACCCCCACCCCCTTTAGTGTTCGCACACCTTCTGCTCCCTAATTGCATCGAAACGGACTTTTTGTGTGAGGTTCCAAAATTCCTGTCTTGTCACACAGCTTTGGGGATGGACTGGGGTACTGAACGACTGTGGAACAAAAGCCACTGTCTTTTTTCTTTTTTCTTTTTTTATAGACCTGGTGCGGAGGTGAGAGGAGTAGCGTTAAGGACCAGAAAGTTTTGTTTCTGGTCGGTGTCCTCCCTCACCATCTTTTGATGGAAAGAGGACAAGGGCGCCTCTGTGCTAAGATACTCTCAGGTAGAAGAAGCCAAGGAAGCAATTCGCCCCAGCCAGGGTTTAACTTCAAATTGAAAATATAAAGTTTATTTGAATAGATGAAGACAGCAACTATAAATTTCGCAATGAATCCTACTTTAGTAAGTTTACAACAAATAGACTTGAAAAACCGATTGCCGGAAAATCAAATTTTTCCATCAGTTTTCAATAATTTAGCTTATTGACTTATAGAATTACCAAAGCCATGTGCAAAACAATATATTATAGCTTCTTCCGAATCATAATCATCTCAAGGATGCTGGTATGAAGTACGTGTGTTGAGTGGAATGAAAATAAACTGCTTTAATCCTAAGCAAAGACTTGCTTGCGTGTGTAGATTCTGTGCACAGAGAAAAATTAGCATCGTGACCATCCTGTACGGGTTAAATTTTCCTGATTAGTTTCAGCAATCACATCCGCTTCTAAGATGGAAGAATACCTTAAGCTTAGCCTATCTATGAGATAAAAAATCTTCAAGATGGGTTACTAAGAAAATGTTCCTCTTCGTTTTCTTGAATTGACTGTTGGATTATAGTGGTACTCCAGTGAGGCACAGAGCAATTACATTTAGTTCTCGAATTGGACTCACTATTTGGAAAGCCCTAAAGAAAAATGGTGATCAACCACAGCCAAACAACAGTGATGATAAAAATAAAAGCGAATAGGATTCTTTTTTGTTTTATTGCTATTGTTTACCTTCTTAGGACCAATATGTCCAAAGTACTAAATATCGATTGATTCTTCCTGCCTGGTCTGGGTTAAGAGGACAATCTAATGAGGGCTTTGCTGCTTTTGATTTGTTTTCCTATCTTACACATTTACAAGCATAGGCATGAAAGACACACAAACTAGCAAGCCAAAGGCAATGAGAGGAGGTGAGCAGTAATCTTCCCTGGGTCTAGACTATTTTAGATTGCCGTGGGTTCTCTGTGACCTAGTGCATAGAGCAGGCAGCACTCCTGGGTTTGAACATATACTACTTCAAGAGACAGGTCCTTTCTAGACACAGATAAGCTAGATCCAGACATTTTATTTTTATAGAGCCCTCCTCCCCAAGACTCTTGGTTCCTTGGTGAGAACTATTGACTTCATGAATTTGAGTATCTCAATGTTTTCTAATGTTGTCTTTACCAAAGATCTTTTTCTGATAGCAAAATATGTTCATTGCAGTACTTGGAACAGGATCTGGGTCTAGTGTTAAGATCGTTTTGATTTTCAAGTCCAAAGATTGACGATCAAGGTGTCATCATTTAGAGACATCAGAAAGCACATCAATGCCAGTTTGACAATCTCAAAGTAGTCTTATTCACCTTGGAGACCTACGCTGTGTATGGCCTTTCCTTGTCATCATTCTAAGAATTTATGAACAGTTTGCAGAGTGCACAAACCAGTATGACACATGCCTTGAAGAGTTTATCACATAAAATTCATTTGATAATATATGTATTAATCACTGAGTACTATATATAACTGTACCCCATCCAAAAATGCTCCCATCCATCCTTGGAATAGACCCAGGAAATGCCAACATGCTAGCTCACTACTGAACTTTCTTCTCAACGAATCCTGTTTGCCTTTTACAATTTATTTTCATGATCATCTTTCTGGCTTTTCTATCGGCTGCTGTATTGGGTGAGAGGGATGGTTTGGCCAAACCTCCGCATTACCTGACCCAGTGTGTCTTAAGTTTGTGAGAGCACTGTGAACCTTTATTCCTCCCTCCATAACAATATGGCACTCTGTGTTTTAAATCTCAAGAAGCATTGCTTTCAAGCAGCAATACATATAATTCTGTTTTATTCTTTGGTCATGGCACATTTTATTTTGTACACAGTCAGCCAGCAAAGTAGAAGTCCAGTTAGTTCAATCATTAGTCATAATCTACAAAATGAGATTCAAGCAGAGTCCCTTCCCAGGTAAAGCTGGCTCTGATGTAGCATTCTTGATAATCCCCATCTTGTCTTTTCAGAGCCATGAGAACAAACTAGATAATTTTTCAGATTTTCTGCCTCATTAATATGAGAGAAACGAACATTTTCTGGCCACTGTTTCAGTTTCTGTAGGAGAGATGAGGATCATGGGAGGTCAAGTTTCCCTACATTAAGTTACTTTCTCCCTAAGCTATGAGACTCACAATTCGATGCTAGATTTCCCAACGGGGCTTTTCATTTGGTTGAGATAAGAATGCTTGTGAGCAAGTATTCTCTTGTGCTCTTGCACCTCCCTTCCCCAGAATCTACTGTAATAAACAGTAATTTTTGGTTGCATCCACTTTGTGGGTGCTCCTTGAGGAGTTTCTGTGGATGATGAATATTCTGTTTGTTTTTCCAATAGTTCTTTTGCTGTACTCTTTTCTAGAGCTGATGATAGTCAAATCCTGCCTTTTTAACGATATCTGCCATAGAGAAGTGTGGAGTCAATCAGACACCCAACTCTGATAGAGAAACAGATTGCAAACCGCTCTCTAGGTTCCCACAGTATCTGCCTGAAGTCTCAAACAGCAACAGCAGTCCATGTTTACTCTGTTGTTGAAGAGCTCAGAGTTGAGGATTTGGAACCTGTGTCTCCCTGCTTTCCTTTCCTTCTCTGGCCTCCTGCTCTGGCCTTCTCCTCTTTCTCTTCCTCTTTAGCACTTTTATCACAAACAGGGAGAAAGCAACAATCAGAGGAAAAAATTAACTCAGGTGCTTCTGGCTACCAAGAAATAGTAAGACTTCATTTTGGATTGCTGTGGATTTGATTTTATACACAGTGTTTACTCTTCCTTAGCACAAATAATATGACATAAACTGAATTTTAAACTTATTTATTGCCTATCTCTGGTACACAGTCTGTGTAGTACTTTACAAAAGTTAAATTGTTAATTTTATTTTAATTTGCGTGACAATGTATATTCTTCA